TATTTCCTTTTACTTTCCTCTTGTCCCACTATCATGCTCAGCCTTCATTTGGGTTTCAGTATTTCCTCAGTTATATTGCCCTTGATCACACCCTACCAGGCCTCCTATGCCTTCCTCACTATCAATTTTGGATCACATGTTCCCTTGTCCCTGGGTTTGTTAACACCCACTTTCTTTCCCCGCCTCCTCCCATGTCTTCCCAGAACCGTTGGTCCTGTTATTTTCTCCTCCAGATTGTTTATCCTGCTTATCTTTTCTAGATAGACCTGCAGAGATAATAATATGCACAAAATACAAGACAGAGCAAAACAAAGCAACAAAAGAAAATAAAACAACACCTTTCTCATTTTAGCTACCTAATTGGTCTGCAGTGGCCTTTTGGACAAATCATACTTTCACGTACCTATCATAAACTCATTTTATTAATGGAAAATGTTTTGTTAAAAGTTCATTTGAAAATGTAGCCTAGTCCTGAGAAAGAAAACTGACTATTGACCTTCTGTGTCTGCATTGGACCTTCCTTGGTATCAATACACAAACATTCTCAGCGGCAGGGACAGAGTCAGAGTCCGACTTTGGGTCCTGCACCGTAGAAGGTGTCTACAACGAAGATGATGCTATTTATGTTGTAGTAGATTTGTATATTTATTTTGACAGGCTATTGACAGATCACCAGAAATGTCTTGTTCTAAGGGTTTCAGATTATTCTTATTGAATAAACTGAAGTTCCTGGGAGATGAAGATAAAATGTCAGAAAGAAAAGACACTTTTTTCTGACTTCCACAAAAGGCAGGTATGAGCTCGTGGTAGTCCTGTAGAGAACTGAAACTCAGAGCCTCTGTGGTGCTCTGACTTCAGCCCAGACAAAGAAGACACAGCACATAAGATTAGATTTGTTTCCAGCACCTACTGCTAGCAAGTCTCCCTTCCTGGCAGTCATTGGCCTCAGTACTAACTAAAAAGTTGGCAGTTCAAACCCAACATTGGCCCCTTGGAGAAAAGCCCTAGCAAAGTGCCCCTAAAAAGATTAAGACTTGACCATGGGGAAGTTCTCCTGCGTTGTAGGGTCACTTTGAATCAGACTCTTCTCTACAGTACAGAACAACAACAAACCAGCCCCCGGGCCTTTACCCACAGACCAGCCAAATGGAATTTGTAGGTGAACCTTGTCGTTCTGGCTGCCCTTCACTAGCAAGTGGAGTGTACCCAAGGGTGTTTGAGAGGACACAGGGCCCTGCCACATGCATGAGCACCCACGCCTGTGAGTCCCAGGATCGGGCCCACCACCTTAGCCACCCTTTTCCTTCCTGCACTTGCCACATTTTTCTCTTACCTCATTCCTAGACTGCTCAGTCCCGGCTGCCTCTGCCCTGCTCAGCTCAGGAAACCAGCATCAGAGGGTCAAAAGGACTCTTCTTCCACCTCCAGGAGATCACTCTCTCGGGCCTGCTCTTTGACCGTCTTCCCAGGCCAGTGAGATAGCAAAGTTCCATATTTGAATCCTAGAGCTTCATAAATGGTGCATACTAGGGAAGGATGTTGTTTTACTACTAGATTCTCTGTGACAGCTGGGGTATCCAGAAGGTTTCCTTCAGACATAGTCAGAGATGTTGCTTCTGTACCCTTCCCAGGGTGAGAGTCTGCGATTCAGACTCTCCATGATTTATCAAATTGAGTTATAAGGTAACCCTGTTCTAAGGAGCCTTGGTGTCGCAGTGTGTTCCACACGGACTGCTCATCACAGTCAGTAGTCGAATCCACTAGCCAATCCATGAAAGAAGGATGAGGAAGCCGTCTTCTCCATTTAAGATTTACAGCCCTGGAAGTCCCAGGGAGCAGTTCTGTTCGGTCCTACAGGCTGCTTATGAGTCAGAATTCACTCAATGGCCTTTGATGTTTATGTTTTGTTTTTGTTTTTTAATTCTCACTAGCACAGTGGTCAGCACATAGTCAGCCTTCAGTACGATGAGCTGAGAAGATCAGTGAGAGGGGAGCATGTCAGAAGGAAGGACATTTCATCTACTCCCCTTTTATATGGAATAATTTCTGTGATCTTCCGAGGCTCAGTAATGTACAGCTCTGTCAGTAGACCTTCCTGTGATGGTGGGTATTTTTTTTTATCTGTGCTACCCAACATGGGAGACACTAGCCACTCTGCGGCTGGTGGGCACTTGAGGAGATGAATTTTTAATTAATTCACATTGAAATGCAAATAGATAGAGTCTCTCCTTTTAGGCAGTAAAGTGATCATCTCAGATGTCCTATCCTTAGTGTTTTGTGACGAAACCTCAGAAGAGTAAGAAGAAGAGCCCCAGAATCAGTGGGCATTGTTTCATGTTACAAAATTTGTGGACTGGGATTTTTAAGAAGCTTCCATATGATTATTGGAGTAAGTAATGCACTTGGAGGCTAACTGAAGGATAATGCTTCAAGTGCATCCAGAGATGTCTCAGAAGAAAGGGCTGGTGACCTACTGCCAGAAAACCAGCCCCTGAAACCCCCGTGGAGCACAGCTGCTCTTTGACACAGGAGGGGGCGGTGGGCTCCAGGCGTCAAACATGATAACATCTGGTGTGGTTTGTTTTTCACAACACAGTCACTCTTCTAAGGTGGAAGTGCAAAGATGAGACCCAAACGCTCCATGCAGGGGTCGGCCGCAGCCACTAGATGAGAGGCAGGCAAAACCTGCTGCTTTTATCTGTGCCCGGGAGAGGACTGCCACTGTCATTCTGTCTCTTTTCAAAGAGCAGGGGATGGGGATGGGGATGGCGTCCTGTTTGTGCTCTTGTGAAACAAGGATAGGTAGAGAAGGAATCTTCAAAGCTACAATTGGGAACATTTACCTTATGCAGATAGTCCTTAAGTAAAGGGAGCGAAATCCATCCCACCCTCCTCGCATTTTTCAAAGCGTGTACTTGTCAAAGTTTTACAGACTCCAAATCTTCCCCAGTAGCCTTTGAAGTAGGGCGAGAGCGGGTCCTATTATCCTTGCTTCTCTGTAAGGCATACCTCTCATTGTTTTCCAATCCATGTTTTTCAGATATATTGATGAAAGCCAGTGCTTACATAGACAGCAGACATAAACAAACTATCCCATGGGATAAGGGTATTTTGTATTGTCTTAAGAAATGCAGATGTTAGACCATGAGTCAGTGTTTGTTAAGGTCCACTGTGATGCCCTACTGTGTTCCATCAGGATGTGCTTTAGCATCATGCGCTGTGATTGAGTTGTCTCCAAGAATGTGCTACCCTTATCCCAGCTACTTCCTGACATTTTCTTGAAATCTCATGGCCAGTTCTAAGTCAGGAATGCCTGCTCTGCATAGCCTCCAGCGTGCAGTAATTCCTTTTCTCTGGGTCCACATCAGCAGGGTCATCGGGAACAAAGACAAAAATGGTAGCATGTACCCGCTTCTCATTGTGGGATGAAAAAATACCTGTCTTCCGATGAGTCTCAAAATTCATTTTCTCTCTCAAAGGGGGAGCACAGTGCCAACAAAAGCACAGTTGAAAGTCACCGTCACTGTGATGAAGAACAAAGCCCACAGGTAAATGATTTCCCTGACCAGCGACCTAATGCTGCCCGTCTGTTTTTCCTCAGGTCATCGATCTGTACTGGGGAGTTGATGAAGGCGAGTGGGACAGCCCAGAGCTCCAGAAGACCCGGATGAAGCTGCTGGAAGATTGTTTGAAAACTTCTGCAGGTCCATGTTTTGTTGTGGGTATAAAAAGCCTAATTGTTTTACATTCAACCGTAGATCTGTGTGAGAAGTTCTACTGCTCTTCATGCTTTTGTCTGTCCCCCCACCCCCGCCCCATGGGAATTCACGCCTTTTCTAAGTTGATTTCCAATCATCTGTGTGCCCTCCATGTGTGGGAACACATCTTCAGCTTCCCATGAGCAGTGCTGTGAATGAATGGTGAATAACTTGAAATGTGGTCATCTCAAACGGACGGATTCGGTCTAACAACAAATCCTCCAATACCTGTGATCTGCCGCCAGGCCTACTGTGGCAGTCTGTAGGACTTACCCCTTTGCCCTTGACCTCTAATGTCTCTGTTTCTCGGCCTTCGAATTTATGGGATTTTATTTGAACACTGTAGCGGAGACATTGTTGAGGTATACAAACAATATATGTCAAGCCAGCCAGTAGCAAGGGGTGCCCTGTGGGGGCGGGAAGTTGTTTCTGTGCTAATTTTCAGCTAGGTGTTCATTATCAGCAACAAATTAGCAGATTTTTCGAGTGGAACACTATTATTAGTTCGTCATTATTTCTAAAAACACTACCCACTCCTCTGTGTAAGCACAGTGGCGGTGAAAGAAGTAGGTCACTCTGCAGCAGGTGACTGTGGAAAGCCACTGCCTTAGCTACACTTAAAACAGAGCCTTATACTGAATTCAAACAGATCCTCCCTGGACAGGGAAGTCAAAGCATGACGCTCTAGGCTGAAAGATGAATATTGATACGAATGGTTAATGCTGTGAAGAAAGGGTATTGCCTACTACACAACTTTAAAGAATAACGAGTCTGTGAAACATCTAAAATGGATGGACCTGGAGGACGTTATGCTGCGTGACGTGAGTCAATCACAAAAGGACAAATATTGTATGGCCTCAGTTTTTTATAAAGTCAAGAATAGGTAGGCACACAGAAAAATGTGGTTTTGATGGTTATTAGTTCTTGGAAATTCACAGGGGTAGTTCTATCTTGCCCTATCGGGTTGCTATTATAAGTCGCCATCCACTCAATGGCAGTGAGTTATGGATGGGAGAAGGGGGCGGGGAGGATTACTTTTTAGATAGTAGACCCTTGTCAGTCTGGGTGATAAGAAAGGCAATACCCAATTGGGTATAGACTGCATGACATGACCAAAGTAACTGAAACATGAAGAAGTATGCAAAACTAAGAGGCACTGTTGTTGAATGCTATGACATAATATTTTTAAAATGTGTATAGTTTTATAGATAGGTATTGTGTTAGACTGGGTTGGGTAGAGAAACAAATTCAGAGACACTCATATATGTTTAAGAAAGAGCTTCATATCACAGAGTAATTGTGTATTAAGAAAACATCCCAGTCCAGATCAATTCCATACGTATGGTAGGAGCCCATACGTCTGATTCTAGTCCATCAGTCCCTCTTCAGACTCGTGCAGCACATGCAATGATGCAGGATGCAGGAGAATCACAGGTCAGTGGGCACAAAGTCTTGTGGATCCAGAGGCAGTGGAAGCACCTCCAGGGCTCTCACAGGTCTCAGCGTGGCTTCACGTGGCTTGTCCACAGCAAGGTGAAAGCAGAGAAAGTGCGTGTGGCTTCCCTCCATAAAAAAAGAGAGCGAGGCTGGCCGCAGAGAAGCGTCATTTGTCTCAGTCACCCTCCAATCAGCTGCAACCTGATTGACAGGCTGAACCCTGCCCACATGTTCCTACGATAGCAATATTGGCACACAAAAACCTGTCTATCACAGGTATACATATATGTGTATGGAAGGCATAGGTGAGTGTGTGCTGAACTCCTTTAAATCACTGAATTGTATGAAATGTTAATTATATGTCAGTAAAAATGTTTTGTTTTGATTTTCTTTTTGGTTTTTTTTCCGTACTTTTATTGGGGAAAAATATTTTTTCAGAAAACAGAAGAGTGAAAGATGAGTGAGAGAGAGTCAGGTGGATATTCCAGGTCGAGAGAGAGAGAGTGGAAATGTCCCTGGCATGTGGACAAAACAGCCAGCAGTCTGGTGTGTTTGGACCACAGATGCAAGTAGTGGGGACCAGAGATTATGGAACTTTGTAATCTTGAAGTTGAATATAGGATTTTTACTTTTTATTTCAGAGAACAAATGTACACTATTTCAACAAGTTATGCATATGTAATTCAGTAGAATTGGCTACATGCTGAAATCGTGCTGCCCTTCTAAATATCCATTTCCAAATTATTCCACCATCATTATTTTATTCAATTTTTGATATGTTTGTTTCATAAATGTTTCTATGATTTTTGTAGCTGTACTTTTTAAACTGTTTTGTTGTTGTTCAGTGCACTGAGTCCGTTCCAACTCACAGCGACCCTGTATCTATCAGAATGAACACTGCCTGGTCCTGAGCCGTCCTCACAATGCATTGCAAAGTGTACTGACATATAATGCACACACCGTACAATTCTCTGTTTACGTGTACTAAAGAGAGTTGTACATTCATCACCCCACTCAATGTTAGCACATTTTCTTCATTCTTGTATCCATTATTATTAGCTCCCCTTTCTCCCCCAACCACCTTTGTCATAAAACTATTAATCTAGTTGCTGTCTGTATAGATTGACATATTCTGAGTTTTATATAAAGAAAACCAAGTAAAAAAGGAGAACACGGCAATTACAACAGAATGAAACACAGGAAACCCCTAATCTAAAAGAGAAATGTAATAAACACAAGAACAAGTTGGAAATAGGTTAAAAGGAAAAACAAATGGTAAAATGTTAAATTTTACACTAAGTATATCTGCAGTGATTGACATCGCCGTGCACTCTGTCTAGGGGCTAGACTATTTATATCCTGGGACCTAGGAAGTTCAATGGAGACATCTGTCACCACCGTTATTTTAAACTAAGTTTCTCATCCAACCTTTTGCATGGCCACTGTCAATTTGATCCACATAGATAATTCTTTAAGAGAGCAAAATGTTCAAAGCTGACATACTTTACTTTTAACGATAAGCTACTTGGGTTCAAAGAAGCCTTCAGGATGGTTTTTGTTTCAGGTTTAAAGATTATCTCAGGGTAATAATTTCAGGGCTTACTCACCTTTAATGACTCCAGAAAATCTGGATTCCACTGAGCAATTAAACTCCTGTCCCACACTTTGATGCTATAAACATTTAATTTCCACTCTGAGGGGCATGAACAGCCACAGAAGTGGGATCCGAGGATTGAAGTGATCACACTTTCATTGAAAGAGGACGACCTTGACCGCCCTGCTGACTGTGTGTTAAGCATTCTGCTGTGAAATGAAGGGTCAGATGCTGGAACCCACCAGTGGCTTTATGGAAGAAAAAAAATTGACTGGCAATCTATTCCCATTAAAAAGTACAATCTATGGAACCATGTTAGGCAGGGTTCTCTAGAGAAACAAAACCAGGACACTTATTATTGTATATATATATGAGAATAGGTTTACACAGTGAGAAGGAATATAACAGCTAAATAGTCCACACAGCAGTACAGAGGACTCAGTTTAGCTCACTTCCGTGGCACAGTTAATATCCTAGAAGTCCTTCAACACACATGGGCTATCGGGTCCAAAATCAAGGAAGCAGACACCAGAGCCCTCCCTCATGCAAGGCAAGCAGAGTCTGCCCACAGGCAGCAAACAACAGGGTGGGTCACCAACAGTCATTACCTCAAGAGCTTAGTGAAGCAGGCCCGGATGGGATATTGAACACAAGCAATGCAAGGCGACAGGATTCACCAGGCTCAAGTTCAAGAGATATACTCACCAGCAGTGTGGTGAGGCAGGTGTCAAAGGAACCTCAAACTCTAGCAACATGATCCACAGGTTGGCTTGGTCCATGGGTTGTGTAGCTCACAGGTTGAGGCAGAGGGCTGGCTAAAGCAGCAGCACACTGGTCTGATCACCAGAGAGCAAGAGAGAGGTGGGCAAGTCTTGTATAGCCATTTATATCTTTGCCCTCCAATCAAACTGACTTGATTAATCCCACATGTTCCTATTGGTCAGGTTGGCACAATAAACCTGTCACAGGAACCCTGTGTGCAGTTCTACTCTGTCATATGGGGAGGGTAGGAGTTGAATTAACTCGATGACACACAACAACCATACTCTGGCTATGGTGCAAGGTAGATTGTAGAGGCCTGAGAAGAAAGGCCAGTTAGGAAGCTGTTGTAATCATCCAAACAGCATTGCATGCTTTAGAGGACAAAGGAAACAGTTAAAAAAAACAGTGTTCTGAGGTTTGAAAAGAACTCAAAGGGCCTGAAAGCCATGGTAAATGCCCTAAGAGCAAGTAGAATTCAGACGTTTTCCATGTGTCCTTAGACAGTAGAACTGGGACCATTGGATCAAAGTGACAAGGAGGCATAGTTGAACTTGTGAAGGACAGTTTAAAGGCATGTCTTTCAAGTTTTAGAGTCATGTACACCTTCGTTCTGGCCCTGACACTTTATAGCTGGGTGAGGAACATCCAGTGGGTCAGTTAAGGCTCACTAACACATCTCCATCAGCAAATATCAGGCAACATCATCATTCTCAGTTCCAGCCATCACATTAAGGGTGAGTTAATTAAATTATTGACCCAAAATACAGGCTAATTTTTAAGTTGATAATTTTGTATGGCCCACCAATAAGGTTAGAAATATCCAGATGGCCCTTGGCAGATAAAAATGGTTCCCCCACACCTACTTTACAGCTTTGCGACATTGAAGTTGTTACTTGAATATTCTAAACCTTGGTTTTCTGTTCTGTAAAATAGGCATGGTATTAATAATACCTCCCTCATAGGATTATTCCAAGGATCAAAGGAAATTGCACACATATTTCTAAGGTCCAACAGATGGTAACTCACGATAAGTGCTAATTGTGGTTAGTACTGTTATTATCAAAGCTCTCTAGAGATGAATTCACCTGCTCAAACAATGAGTGCATCACTAACAAAGTTGTTACCAAGTTTTAGAACATAAACCTCTCTGGTGGGGTGCCTGGTGTG